CAAGACTCAGAATGCTCATGAGGCTCGTCCGCGGCCAAGTTTCCGGGGCCAGAAAGCGGTTTCACATGTAGTGTGGACACAAATTCCCTCAACTGTACTTCCTCCTGGCCAAATGGCCAAGTGTGAGAATTGCGACAGTGTCCACTGGCAGCCTCAGCAATCTTCCGTCCAGGTTTGTGAGCCCGAAACTGGGGTTGAAAAAGTGAAGAGAAAATGGCTTCAACGCACAGGCCCTCAAGTGTACTCTTGGACTCTTCGGTTCCTTCCGTGTCGCTGGCAGCTCAAACCCAGCAGCAAGTTTAGTTTGCTGGTTTCGATCGATTCCAGCACTCCGTGCATTTAGCTGACGCAATGAAGCAAAACATGTTCCTCCAGCTTGTCTTCGCGGCCGTTGCCCGGTCGGCGGAGCCATGAAGGCCGGCAGCCTCTCCAGTCGGAGTAGGGACGCAGGAGGTCCATTTCTTGCCTCTACCACCAGCGTGGAGAAATTCGTGATGCACCCGCGGACTTGGTGGATATGGCCTGCTGGATCAGGGCCTGGCCCTTCTTGAGGACCTGTTTCATGAGGTCTGCCGAGCCTGGGAAGCCAATGTCGCTTATTTTACTGAAGAAGGTGAAGGAAGCACCCAATTGATGATGTTGTTTGCCCAGACAAATTAGCTTGCAAGCCAAAACGAACACAGCTTGCAACAGTTTCAGTCTTGGCGGTAGAAACCCCCAACATCTCACGTTTACCCACTCGGCTGCTAAGTCACCAAAGACTGTCTTTGCCATGGCGCACATTCGTTACGACGAGGTTGCCTCCGCGTTCCCCTTGCACTGCGTGAACTTTGCGGTGATCAAGAGAGGATGATGCTGAGACCATCGGCCATGCAGTTTAAGAAACGGTTGTGTGGGTCAGTTGGATTTGCCTGCTTGAATTTTTTCGAGCTTGGGTAGCGCGGTTTGCCAGCTCGAAGCCGACGTTGATGGCCGTCTTGATATGCTGGGGCCAGCTCTGCTTAACCTCCCCATGGGGAGGTTGATGAGTTCTATTCTTGTGCCTGCGAGCGTGATGTAGCATTCATAGCGGCCAAAGTCCACTGCGAAGTGGTCCGTGGTCAGCTTGGGCTTGGTACATCGAAATTGCACTTACTGCCCAGAGCCGCTGCGACTTTGTCAGGAGTTGGGAAGAATCGACGAGTCTTGTTGCTTGAAGACACCGGAGTCACAAACTGCCCGGTCTCCCTTTGGTGCTTGTGCTTGCGGAGGACCTTTTCCAAGACCGTCTGGGCACACTGAGCTCTCTCTTTGTTCAAGGCCCTGATCTCGACGAGAAAGGGGCTGGGCTTGGTCCGCTCTTCTGCTGAATGCACTTCTGGAGTTCTCGCTCCTGCTTCTTCTGAGTCTTCTCTCCAGAAGTTCCACAGCGGTTTCCTTAGCTGCCAAGCTACTCCCAAGGCCCCTTTGTACCAGCCTACACATCCTACAAGTCCTCGAACTTGATGATCTACACGCACTCTGCTGCTTGAGGAGGAACCGGAGTGTAAGAACTGCGATGGCCTCGGATGGAGCTTCGGCGCGGACAGCAGCCACCAGCAGACCAAGCTGATCACCCAGTGTCTCGGCTCCTTGAGACTTCCTTGAACGGTTCCAGGGTTGGGTTGGGGCCCATCCTCTCCATCTTCCGTTTCTTGTGCCCGATTTGCTTCAGGTTCCATGGCCATGAGGTGGACACCAGCTCCTGCCTTGCCTTCGCGCCCAAGAGCAAGCACGGCCACAACAGTCAGGCCACCGAAGCGGACTGGCGGACGGAGCGGGAGGGGCCTGATTCAGGGCCTTGGGTTTCTTGCTGAAAGATTGAATTTAAGGAACCACTGTCGGGATCTACGGTGTGTGCTTTCTTATTTTGGCCGCAGCTGCTGCAGCTGCAGCCGCAGTTTCAACTAATTCCCCAAACAAGAATCCAGAACGAAGGGGATGAAGGCATGGTCACTGTGTGTTGTCGTTTGGATGCAGGTTCAGGATCCGAACAACTTCGTGCCTCTCGAGCCCTGGGGTTTGGGGTTGCGGGTTTGGAGAAGTGGCAAGGCTACTCTTTCCACTCCACCGAGCTGGCGATCGACGAATGTCTCACGATCACGTACTCCGTGAACGTCCAGCCTGTCGGCTCATTTATAGGTGGGGTCAGCGTCGAGGTGATGCCCAAGAAGTGGGCGGAAATCGATACCACGATCTGCTGGCCCAAAAAGCGGCCTAGTGGCTTGGACCTGAGCATCCTGAAGACTGAGATAAGTCCACCGGCATCTCTTCTTCCAGACCCTCCGCCTCAGCGCTTCAGAGATGGTAATGCCTTCTCGCACAATGCACGCTAGCACGAGCACCTGGAAGAAGAAGAACATTCCGCGTGCCGTCCAGGACCAAGCTCCTGCAGACGGACCAGGACCTGAACCACTCCGGCCACTCCGAGGACAAGCACGAAGAGGAGGAAGAGGATGCAGAGGAGGACGAGAGCTTGTGGGAGTGGCAAGCCGACCCGGAGAACCTCTACCGCCTCGGCAATTTCACGGATGACGGCCTGAACCTCACCTCGGAGCTCCACGGGCATGCCGCCGGACATCTCGGCCTCTTGCAAGAAGCCGCCGAAGCTGGCGACTCCGAAGAGGCGCAGGGTATCTTCAAGCTCTTCAGCCTGCAGCGCGGGAACAGCGATCTTGCGAGCTTCCGCTTCAGAGCGGTGCTGGAGGCCGGGTCGGCGAGTCGACTGTGCCCAGAGAGCTTTTCTCAGCTCCTCAGAAGATGAAATGTGGAGTGCCGAAGTGCGAGTTCCAGCACGTTCAGAAGTTTTCCTGGAGTTTTGAGAAGCATGAAGGGCATATGCCTTCAGCTTGCTTACGCTGTTTGTTTTGGCGCCTGGAGACGCACCAGGAAGCACCAAGTGCAGAGAAGCAGTTAGGACTCTTTGGAGTGCCTGTGAGTGTGCTGAGGAC